CGCCTTTACGTAGATATTTTGCATTAAAATCCTGCACTTCCTTATAGATTTTATTAATACTAGCTTAGTACGGGTTAGGTATAATAGGAGGATTATCTACGCTACGGTACCGATCGCCTATACTACGGTATATAGTAAAGAGTCGAGCGGAGAGCCCCTAAATTTCGTAAGTTATATCCTTATAGGAATAATTAGTAGTATTCCGGATCCCGAATTCGTCCTTAAAAGCATTATTTACTTGCATTATAGCGAAAGTAGTATATAAAACACGATCAAATGTTTCTACTATATTATACGTCGAATTCTTGAAATTTCGTATATTATTTTTATACCGCAAATTGATTAGTTCGAGCAATTCGTCTACCGCGATCCCTTTCCCGGGCCTACCTATTATATTTACGACGCCGCCGGCTAGAATCGCGCTACGGAGATATAGAGATACGCCCTTAAGTAGCTAAATTAGATATAGCATCTCGCGCCCGTAGTTATATTATCTAGCCCCGAAAAATACTACTACGAGCTGCGGTAAGAGACGTTTAATATAACTAATATCTATATTCCGAGTCGTATATCGGAGAGTTAACTAGAGCTCGGTTATATAGAGTCGCCGATAAAGTGTAGTCTAGGTAGGATCGCGGATTCTAGGCTATGCCTACGGGATAGGCTCTAACTATAGCGGAGTCCGGCGCATCTACTACGGTAAGAGTAGCTTTGTCCTAGGTGTACTATATACCCGTTCCTATTCTCTTTCTAGCTATACTAAAGGCCGCAAGTAGCTATTATATATAGCTACTAAGAACTAAAGATATTCATCCGTAGTAAGACCTACTATAGTAGGTATAACCGCCCTTAGCTTACTAAAATTAGGAGGTAAATCCGTAGGGAAATATTCGCTATAGTATAGCTACTTAACGAATAAGGCGATAATCCTTACGGAGTACCTATAAAGCGCAACGGGACGTAGTATCTAGTATTTTGGTTTTTTCTTAGTTAATCCTTTCGTACCAAATGCCTATTTGTCCTAGAAAAGGCTATGTTCCGACCTAGTATCCTAACTAATACTCTAGAAAAGGCGAACTAGTATATAATAGAGGTTTATAGCGGTATAGAAGAGTCCCGTAACGGGCATTATCTAATCCCGCCGCTCGAATAGCCTTATACTTTTAGCATTTTTACCTTTGTTGCTCCGTGTACGCTATACCGACTGTTAATCTCTATAGAAAAGCTACAACCGTATAAGGAAGTCTACGACTAGGTTAAGGCGTAGCTTATATAGTATAATGTCCTCTTATACCGCGGCGTTCCTATCGATAGTACTCTCGCTATAGTAAATCGTACTAAGCGGGCAGAATTCGGTTTTAGAGGCCCGTAGCGGATACAGTCCTAGCTACTACGCAATCGACTTAACCCGAGGGTCCTCGACTACGGTTACGAGCTTATTTTCGAAGATGCTTATAATCGCCGTATATATATAATATATCGACAATTTCCGAGACTATTTATCTTCTCTAAGCGTAGGGGCATTACAGATATCCGTAGCGTCTAGTCGCGTATCCGCCTTAAAATCGTTAATACGTAGGCTAGTATCGGGATAGCGAATATACGGAGTAAAGCGCACTAGCAGCGCCGTAGTAAGATTGCGTATAACCGACTAATTAGATATAGTCTAATCCCGAACCGTATCCTAGAAATTAATATTATCGTAGACTACGTACTATATAACATTATACGCTAACCGGACGAGTCTTTCCTATATAGAATAAGCACGAGTTAACTATAATGCGATTAAATAACTACCTTCTACTCGCTCCTAGAAAGCTTCTCCTTACGGTATAGTGCTATATACGTAGCGATTAAACCAATTCCCGATAGGACATCTAATACCCTCTGCTTTACGCTATTTAATAGGAGGTACCGACCGAATACTTTTACAAACTAATTAGATTTGTTCTGAGAGCGAGTATAGAGGATAAAGGTAGTAAGGGTAAATATTCGTATATCGAGATTATCCGGCTCTTTATTGCGCTGCCTAACTAATACGCTACGGGTAAATTAATGCTACGCTAGAGCAATATCCCGGATAATCTTATATGTATCCTTAAACTACTAGACGGAGAATTGATTATTAAATCTATTAACAGGTTCGAGTAGCGTAGCGGCCTAGTCGCCCGCTACGGCCTTAAATACCTCTATAGCGGATCGAAGAGTCCTCCGCTATTTCCTATATAAGCTCTTTCTAATTAGGTAATCGAGTTTACGAATAATATTACTATTCTTACTACTAGACAACTTAACCTACTTCGATTTACGTAGCTCCGCATTTAATATAATAGAGAGCTAGCCGACGCGATACGTATAGGACTTACTCCGTAGTTTACTAGTCTAGTACTATACGACCTTCCCTATAGTAAGGTTGTTTTCCCGTATCTTGCGTATTACTTCTTTATAGCGCTGTCTTTTATCGCGACAAGCGCGGGGCTAGCGAGTTGCGTAGCAGGTCGACTCGTTATCGCTACTACTAACGCTACTACCGTCTATAATGCTATCTACTTCTAGTTATAGGCGATCCGCTAGGTCCTCCTCTTCGGTAGACCTATTACCCGGATACTTATAAGATAGAATACTAGAAAGATCGGAGGAGGTAGATAGACTAGAAGGAGAGCGACTAGATATATATCTATCTATAGCGGAGGATAGAGATAGTCCTATAGAAGTAGGCTAGAAAGCCGCGGAGGGTATAGTCGTAATAGAAATATACGATAATATAGTCGTATCTGCCTAGCGTATATCGCGACGTAGGCGCTACGACGACGACGACATGTTTGTACCTAATTTCGTACCTAAGAAACTTCGGGAAAAAGATAGTAATACGGAGAGAGGTATTCCCGCTATAGAGAGAAATTTTTACTATAGGAAATAGTCGTTCTAGTATTAAAACTAGGGTTTTGCGATTCTCCTATATAAATGTTTAATATAGGAAGTCGAAATCCCGATAGAAACGGCCTAGACGAGAATAGCGATTCCTATATTCCCTGCCCTAATTAGTAGAAAAATTTGCTTAGCTCCGTATAGTTTTTATCTAAGCCCGCTACGGAGTAGTCTATATACGGGACGCGGACCGCTATATTCCGCAAAGGCAAATTGTCTAATAATAAAACGCAGGTAAGAATATAAAAATAGGAATCGCTAATATTCTCGTCTAGTCTTAAGATAGACTTAAACTATAGCTAACGCCTAGGATATTTATTACAATCCCCTATAACGCGTAGGTCTGTAAGCATTCGATAGCTAAGCATTCGTCTAAAAGGTCTTTCGGATACTTAGGCAATCTTAGTAGCAGGGCCGACGTCTGCGCTTTACTTTTTAGTACTATATTAAATACTATATATACGGTCTTTTTACTCCTACGCTCGTTATAAAGGATAACCTACTATAGAATACGGAGGAAGAAAGAAATTAGACGAGAAATTAGACGAGAAATTAGACGAGAAATTAGACGAGAAATTAGACGAGAAATTAGACGAGAAATTAGACGAGAAATTAGACGAGAATTTATTAGACAACCTTTATTCGCGACGTTTTTAAAAAAATAAAGATACTAATAGCCTCTAGCAGAAGGGATAGTATCTCGCGTAGAATAGTACCCCTACGCCTCGAGCATACCTTACGGACGGGTCCCCCCTTCCTATAGTCGTACCTCCCTATAGAGGGACCCCGCCGTCCGATAGTCTCGGCTAGCGGGGGCCCCTACTATTCTTTACCCCGAGGTAGAGTAGGATTCTAAAAAGGGGGGGGGGAGGCGACAGCGAGGTTAGATTTGCCGGAAAGGGACCCCTACGCGAAATATATATACTGCGTCTATGCGATATATATCCCCTATCCTCCTATATATTAAAATTAGCGGTAAATAGCGGGAGGGATAGAACTTATAGCGATAGCGAGGTTATTATAAGAAAGAGGAAGAACGCGATAGGAAGATATATATATATATACCGAGAAGTAAACAAACATCCTGTTTAGGACGTGGGGGCATGCGGTGTTGGATCTGGGGCCCACTTTTCGACAGGTGAATGGTCCTAGGTCGCTGTAGCAACACAGCGCCACTCTGACAAGGATGAGGGCAATCAACACTGTAAATAAGCTTCGTTCACCCTTGAATACAGTTCTGGTAACAAGCGTGGCCTTCCTTCGAGCATGCGAATGGACTTGGCTTATATAGCTTTAACGCTGATGTGCGCGCACTTCATCTTCATGATTTGCACCTATATTGCACCTAAGCCAGACATTCGCTTCAAATACCAGAGAGTACTCAAACGGCCCCTTTAGCAACCGACACCCGATTAAAGAGAGTCTGCCGTCTGTCTCGTTAAGAAAGAAGACACGACACAGCCAGCTGAACTTTTGAGACCGCTGAAGAGGTAGTAATGGATATCCCAGGCCCCGAAAGCGATGGCCTTGATCCAGATTATGACATCTTGGTTGGTATATAATGATTCCATGCTCGTTGAGAGCAGCATCTTCCGAGGTCATGTGGTTGATCCGAAGCTCATTTGATGCGGCAAATTGATGGATTTGCATGTGAACGCCATCTGTGCACCAATCAACTTCAACGACCTTGCGACTGCATTCCTTACAACTGACACGACACAATCAGAATATGACTGTGTATCGACAGGACGATTCCTCCTACCAACCACTAATCCAACCACCGACAATGTCTGGATGGCATCCTGACCTCGCTGGCTTGCGAGAGCAGATTCTATGCAAGTACCCGCTTCGCGAAACGCGCTTCTGAACAAAAGCTGACAACGCACAGCTAACGCCGTCTACCTCTTCACCAGAGTAGTTGATGAGCACCTCCGAACGTATCGGACTAACATCGTCAAGCCCAACGAGATCTTCGACATCGTCATCCAGAAAGACGGGTGGACATCGTACAAGGCGATACTCATCTGCGGCGACCCAACTAAGCGCACTCTAGCAGCATCCGGAGGGTCGCAATGGACCACGAGCGCTGCACTCGAGGCGCTTTTGAAGCTATTGAGCAAAGTGATCGCTAAGGAGGGTCGATCTTTGAGGTTCGATGAGAGACATCTGCAGCGGACTTCCGACGGCGTCGTGAATGAGAATTTGATGTGATATGGGACGGTTGCAATCAGGCTGAACGTGCGTCGCTGTGAGACGACGGTCTGGAGAACGGCTTACACTTGAGCTGGCTTGAGGAATGAAGCGACGGAGCCTGCTGGATGGGTGGCGTTGCGTCATTCGAGATTAGCTTAATGCTCACTTTCATGTGACATGTGAAAGCAGTCCGAGCTTTGAGCCCGAGACTCCAAGACTCCCTCCCATTCACTTTTCACCATCAAATTTCCAACAGCCAAAAAATTCCTCACTACGATTCCATGATGACTTCTGACACCACAAACGACATCCAAGGCCTTCGAGAGCAGATACTGGGTAAGTCGAACGAAATCAGGGTATAATCGTCACTTGCTTGACAATTCCACAGCGAACGCCGCCTTCTACTTCACCAAAGCTCGCAACGAGCACTACTACAAGAATTGCCGAGTTCCGTGCCTCCGAATACCACACCAGCCCCAGAATTTCGACATAATCATACAGAAAACCGATGGCTCCTACAGTGCAGTCCTCATTTGTGGCAACCCAGACAAACGCGCCATGGCCGCTGCTGGTGGCTGGACGCATGACGCGAGCTCGGCGCTGGAGTCACTTCTTGATGTGATGAGTAAAGCTGTTGCTAGGAAAGTCGATCTCCTGGGCGGGCGTGAGAAGGATATGAGGGTCACTGGTAATGGGATTGTGAACGAGGCTAAGAGGTATTGAGTGAGAATTTGAGAAGAGACGAGATCATGCGGATGGAGGTCATGATAACTACGAGATCGAGCTGTAGTTTTTCTTTTTTTTTTCAAATGAGTATGGAAGTGACTCACTCTCTTCTCGCATATGAAGCTGTCTGTGCGTCGTGCGCTGACTTCTTGCAATCATTACCGCGAGACTCAAAAGATCTATCCAGGAAACAACATTTTCGTCTCCAAAACTAGATATCGCTGGCCTTCGCGAGTAGAGCTTGGGGATTCAGACATATCTCATTGCCAAGGATCACCAGCTGACAGGAATCAGCGAACGCAGCCTTCGTCTTCACCAAAGTTGTTCTGCGACGCCATGCTTATTTGTGGTGATCTGAGAGAACGGATCTTGCTAGCAGAGGGAAGCGAGAAACGAACGAGACAGGACGCACTTGCATCGCTGTCTCGGGTTATCTGCAAGGCATGCGGCAAGAAGGAACAATCGCTAGTCGTTGATCGAAGGGACATGAGAGATATGGGCGCGCGAGGGAATGGTGAACGATTGATTATTTGATGCGATGATTAATTACGGCTGGGTGGCTGGGAGTGCGCCATATCCTCCACACAGCAGCCGGACTCCCTCTCATAACACTCCGATGATCACTCACGACTGTACCATGAACCGTCGTCTTTGCTTACTTCACGAAGTCTTAATCTCAGCCAACATCTCCTTCCTAGCCCTACTCTCCTCATCTCTCCTCTGCTGTCGACTGGTCGGAACATGAGGTCTACGATATCGTGAATCCGGATCCATCGCTGTCTGAAATTTTTGCGAAAACGGTAGGACGATTAATGTAGCTCCGCCGACGGAAAGTGGTAATGTGGCTTGAAGGTGATTTTCGGGTTCGAAGGCTGTGACCACCGCAAGGAGGAGGGCGAAAACCCCTACCAATGAGACAAGTTTGGCCGTAGCTTTTGGTTGTTTGGAGCGGACGTGGCAAGGCATTTTTGGTTGTCGTTGCGAGATTTTGTTGATGTGGTTCTGGTGTGGAGGCGAGTCTCGTCGTTTGTTGGAGACGGAGTTGTAGCTCTTGTATCTGATGATGATGCTCTTTGAGTCCTTGTGTAAAAGTCGTGGTGGTATGGCGTTGTGTGATACACACGAGTTGAAGCCACGTTGGCTTCGCGGTAGGAGTCACAACCCGAGGACAAGAGGATTCTGGCTGATTCGGTAGTCCTTCGCTACTACCTCGACAGATTTTGACTATGAAATTCCTCGTTAAAACCCTTGAGGACAGCGCAAGTTCAATCTGCATCTTCCAATATGTGGTTGTTGCCATCGTTTGCACATGCACGGCTTGGCTGATCTGGACCCACTTTTTTCGCGATTCACTTGTCGGGTCCCGAACTTGAGACTTGCGCGGCATTTCTAGACATGATAATCGGGCGGTAGCATCCTGGCTTTCGAGCAGGAAGTATGGGAGCGCGTGCGGTCGACGGCGCCCTCTCCGCCACCCTCTCCGTCACCTTCAGACACCTGTGCCGTCGAATTCGCAGAGAGTGGCTCCGTTTGAAGCAGTCTGTCAGAAGCGGCTGCCTGAGATTCCGTCGGTGGTTGACATGGACCGCTTGACAAGACCAATTGCACTCTCATATTTTGCCGCCGAGCGTACCCAGACGGCTGTGTGGTAAGTCTGCAAGATGCATGAAGTATTTGGACATGCGTGGTGTCATAGCTTTCCTTGGGGATAGCCGAATCTCACAAATTGTTCCTGCTCATGCACCATGATTGCTTCTCATTATAACCACGGGCACAGCACTCCTACAGGATTTGGCTATGGTTTCGTCCCTTTTTTCGCGTCGCGGCTTCGCTTTGTTTTTGTACGGCAAATCGACAGGCGTTTGCGAGCTGTAGTTTCTGATCTTGATGAAAGTAGTGCGTCCTGAGGTGTTTGCGGCGCAGGTCATATTATTACGAGATGGACGATGGACGACGGACGCACAATGAACGAGAGCACCAGATTCGGCCCCCACAACTGCCAAGGCTGAGAAACCTCCGCTGCCGCCTCCGCTCCGCTCCGCTCCGCTCCGCTCCCCGCGTACGTTGGCTGTATGATTTATTTTGGAAAATGCTCACCAACCCATGTCAGAGCTGGACCACCCACGAACGAACACCAGCGGAGGTACCTGGGAAGCAGAAGGATACAGCGATACCTCCGTCATGTACTGTAGACGTTGGTGACCACCGGTGTCAATCCGTACTGGTGTTCCGGTGGTGATGGGAACAGGTTACTACAGAATCCTGCACACTCGTCCCGGAAACTCGGGCATCGCTGGGCGCCGCGACACTTTATATACAGGACCATGACAACTTTAAAGCAATTCCGTGTAGACTTGCACCTTGGAACTGCTCTTATTTCCTCAAAACAACCTCAGCAGTTCCGGTAATCCGAAGCCGGTGCAACATGGAAGCTAGAATACCTATCCGGGCACACACCACACACCCGATGAACTTCCTGATTGATAATTCCAGACGGCATAACAATTCTTCCGCACCTGCATCGCAATCGTATACATCACGCACATGAGATGCATGTCAGCTGTCGGCGCGAACACGTGCACAGCACACGCCAGCACGAATAGCTCGTCGTATAACATGCAAACAAGGGTGTCTCGCTCCAACGATTGGTCAAATCGCTCCTTTGTGCACGCGAAGCTCTGCAAGGGACCGTGGAAGCCGCGGCCGAGGGGCAGCTTCATGTGCTAAAGAGAGGAGCTAGACACACTTGCAACCCTACTACTACGCCACCATCATCCACCATATCGAAACTCGCATATACGCGAACGACGTGGACATTGCTAGTCAGTTGAAGATCATATATCAACATGGACGAAGTCGCGTTTCGAGGCATCCACTTCTCCGTCACCGACCACTACGATCCCAAACGTCCCCCTCCCGAACCCGACGCCATGATCCTCCACATCTTGGACCGATTGGGCTGGCTCACCCTCCTCTACTCATCAATCACATACTGCACATACCAACTACGAAATCTCATCCCAGAGAAGCTATGCTACGCCTTGCTGCTGCTCCTCACAATTGTCTACCTCAAAAAAGTCATCCACCATCTCGACCAAGAGTCGCGGATCCGAAGGCTCGGAAAGCGCGCTCCCAGCGTCCGCACGCCGTATCCATTTAATTTGGGGGTCATGTTTCAAGCGCTGTATTACTTCTCTCAACATCGCAATCATGAGTTCTGGTGGAACCTTTTCAAGAAGGGAAACCCGAACCGGCCGTATACGGTTGAAGCTCTAACGCTGGGAGGGAGGTTAGTGTTTACGGCTGACGAGGAGAATATTAAGGCGATTTTGGCGACGCAGTTTAGTGATTATGGCAAGGGGCCGCAGTTTCGGAAGGAGTGGAAGGATTTCTTGGGGTTGAGTATGTGATATCAATCGTTGTCGTCGTTGAATTTGTGATACTGATGATTTGGCAGGCATTTTCACGACGGATAAAGAGTTATGGCATAACTCGCGACAGCTGCTTCGGCCGCAGTTTATCAAGGATCGGGTGTCGGATTTGCAGAAGTTTGAGCATCATGTGCAGATTCTATTGCCACTGATGGCGGGAAGCCATAACGGTGCGACAGTCAGGCTCGACGACTTCATGTATCGTTTCACACTGGATGCCGCCACGGATTTCTTGTTTGGCACCAGCGTCGGGAGCCTGCTGAACGGAGAAGCCGAGTTCGCCCAGGCGTTTGCGGAGGTGCAAGGAGTCCAGGCCATTATCGCTCGATCGGGTCCACTAGCCTCGCTTTATCCGAAGAAGAAGTTTCACGAGGCGTTGAGTGTGATGAATAAATTCACTGATCGATACATTGACCAAGCTCTGCAGCTGCCGAAAGAGGAGCTGGAGAAGAAGACCAAGTCGGATGAAGGTTACACGTTCCTGCACGCTATCGCCACGTATACGAGAGACCGTCAGGTGCTGCGAGATCAGCTCGTGGCGGTGCTTTTGGCTGGCCGTGACACCACCGCGGTGACACTTTCGTGGCTGTTCTATGAACTGTCGCTCAAACCAGAGATTGTGAAAAAGCTACGCCAAGAGATTGTCAGCCATGTCGGTTTGCATCGGGAGCCTACGTATGACGACTTGAAGTCCATGCGTTACCTGCAACACACACTGAACGAGACACTCCGCCTCTATCCGGTCGTACCATACAACGTGCGAGTTGCACTCGAGGATACGACGCTGCCGCACGGTGGAGGTCCAGATGGTATGGAGCCTGTGGGCATAGCAAAGGATACCCCGATCGGATACAGCACTTTCGTGATGCAGCGCCGAGCAGACATTTACCCTCCAGAATCGGACAAGTTCCCGCACTATTTGAAGTTTGCGCCCGAGAGATGGGACCACTGGACTCCGAAGTCGTGGACTCATATTCCATTCAATGGAGGACCAAGAATATGCATCGGCCAGCAGTTTGCCCTTACCGAATTGGCGTATACGGTGACCAGAATTCTTCAAACGTTTGAGAGAGTGGAGTGCAGAATGGACGAGTACCCAGGAACCAAGACCGATATCGTAAGTTACTCTGACAACAGAGGACCCGATTCAAGGCAGTGGCTGACATCCAGTTCTTTCTTTCCAGGTATTGCAACCTGCCAAGGGTGTGTATGTAGCGTTTGTGAAGGCAGGGAGCGTTTGAAGCAATTGCAACCTCTGCAATCTCTGTTCGAGCTGCACCAAGATCTGCGGGAGACTTGTCTCATCTTTCCTCCGGACCTCTACTCGAGGTAGCGTCTTCCAACTGCAAAGCTTGCGCTGTGAATGAAGCTGGAGATCCACCAACGTGAGCAGACACGTTGGTCACAGGCGATGGACGAGAAGCACACGCTATAAGGTATTTTTATGTTGAGTGGCACTTCCATCACATTGAAGATCTTGTCGGCTTTTAGGAAGGTGTTCATCCAGCATTCCGGGCCGGGGAGCCAAGGGATGCGGAACCTGCGAGCTGGTAGGCCGCAGATCTCGTTTGTAGCTTCCCACAGACCGGGTCTCTCAATCACATGCGAGAAGGCTCCTTGTAGGATCTTTTCTGAGAAGCAGTAGGAACAGCCGATGGGCTGCCAAATTTGCTTACCCAGTTGTTGGGCGTGTAAAACAGGTTTCATCCTGTTTTTGCCGAGTACTGGATGCTGTCAATCATCATCATGCCGTTCGCAGTTGTTATTTTGGGGTGGGCGGCGGGAGGACGCGATGAACGAAAGTGGCAAGTGGGCTGGTGGGCTTCAGGAAGAGGCCCAGCCAACGGCGAAACACGCGAGCAATAGGAGTGCAGAGAGGGCAGAGAGGCTCAGAGTAGGCTCAGACATATGATATGACGGAGCGTCGGACAGCCGACTCGACGACGCTCTGCCTTTCGTCGGCAGGCATCACAATTGTGACAATGGCAACTCTTGTTCGCACTACCTCGGTCACATGGTAGGCAGGACGGGCTGTGATGTCGTGCTGGCAAGTAGTCCCAAGGCTAGCTGTTGTAGTGTCTCGTTTGAGTGTAACGCGTTTCCTCCACCAGTAGTTTCCCGTGTCTGGCGCGTATGATCGAACGCTGTCGGGCCTGAGTCTTGTCTGTCGGATCGGGTGTACATAGAAAGCTCGCACGGACTAGGTCTAGAGGGGTCGAAGGCTAGGTAGCTGTCATTGACATTTGATTATTATTGATGGCACGCGCAATCCGGGAAGCTCGAGGCGTTCATTATCGGGCACTGTCGGCAGAAATGCCATGGATGTCAGGTTGAGAAGGATTGGCGATGCGGAGATTATTGGGGAGGTCTCCTTCTGGGTTGTTGGTGTGAAAGGTCGAGGTGTCCAGGTTGACCAGGCCCGCTGCGATTGCTGTTGTCCAGCTTTTCGGCATCGTCACTCGATGAGGCGCACTGCTGGAAGGCAAACGTGCTGCAAACTCTGCAAGCGAAGCATTCGATCGGGCTTCGTCAACGTGCAGCCGATGGGCCTACTGCAGCAGCTGCATGGCGGAAGGCCGTTCTGAGCGACGGCTTGCAGCAGGAGACGGGCAGGACGGAGGCGGGACAGGAAGCGCGGGCGCGGGCGCGAGGCGGGCGAATACGGCTGGGCTGGTCAGGGCCAGAATTCTCCAACAAGTAGCGTAGCTTCGGCCCAGCAACATGGGTATAGGCCGCGGTGCTGCATATGCCGGCGGAAGCGCGCGTTAGTCAGAAGTGAGATGGTGCATGAAGACGGTGATGGAGATGTCGCGCGGCGGCGCGGAGGCAGCGAGCGAGCTTTGCCGACGGAGGATGTGTGCATGTTGCCGGCGGGGCCCTGGCGGAGTGTTCGTCGCCATCTATCCTGCCACCATACCGCGCTGTTGGGGACGCTGAAGAATTATTCTGCCGAAACCTGGACGGTGTGGTGTGTGTGGTGTGGAGCAACGCGCTAAGCAGGCGCGGGCGGCGCGGGCGTTGGCACTGGCACTGGCACTGGCAGGCACAGGCCGTCTGGCAAGGCCAAGGCGCGTCTCGAAAGTTCACGGTTCTCCAGGGCAAACACAACACACAGCAACCCAACGTCCCAGACAGGATCTCATAGACAGAACACTCCCGCACCCCAAGCCTCGCCCTCGTCCTCGCCCTCGCCCTCGCCCTCGCCCTGACTTCTTCACCAACGCACGCGTCCTCCGGATCAGCAATCTCGCAGCCACGGATCGTCTCAGCGATTGCAGCGGCCCTGCATCACCTGCATACCCACACACCCTACCCACAGCCGCGTCGAGTGCTGACAGCGGGACGTGGGGCTCCGCGAAAAACATTGATCAATTGCCTCCTCCTGCCATCGTCAATCTTCGCAACACTGGCCTCGCCACTCTCGACGCATATTGCCCTCTGCTATTGCATGACACGTCGCCGCCGCTCGCTCGGAACTTCCATTATGCCTGCCCATCATCAACACTCTCGCTCATCCGGCTCCGTCGTCTCCTCCAACGCCTCTTCCTCCTCCTACCACATGATACTGGACCACATTCTCACCTATCCCGGCAGCTATGAAATCCCGCTACGCACCATGTACACTCTCAACTGCGGCCCTCGAAATTCGAACGCATTTGCCACTCCCACCTCGAGCAATGCCAGCTCACCACACCTACCCCAAGCTTCTTTCCAGGACACCCCTTCCCGCCAGACATTGACAGAGAACCTCATGACTCAGTTGTCACAACTTCCCAACCAACCTTCAACCCTACCACCCTCCTTCATCACCTCGTTTCTTCAGAATTGCTTTCCTCCCCATCTCACCGATGTCGACTTTCCGCAGGCCCTCACTGGATTGGACTACCTCAAGGACCTGGAAACTCGGCGCCGGAAGGAAGTTGCAGCGGCCTTCAGCCGGCTGGACATCAACCGCGACGCCCTCGACCAGGATGCCTTGGCGTTGTCGGAACGATATCCTGGCGTGCTTCAGTGGGTGAAGACGATTGAAGAAAAGGAGCGCAAGATCGATGCCCTCTACACGCAAATCTACGTGGGCCTACGACGCTGGATCCTGGTCAACGAGCTCTCCTTACTCCCCTTCCACAAGCACAACTGTGTCGCCATGCTCAACACTCTTTATCCACCAGCCGGCATCACCGAGCAAGCGCAACCGACAAGCCGACTCACGCCTACCGTGCTTAAGGAGCAACGCGATGGCTTCTTCAAATACATCCAAGCTGTTGAGAAGAATGGCCCGCGCATCCTGAACAACCTCATGCAACAGGGCAAGGCACCAACCGACGTCAATGGCTGGTCAGCAGTTGTGCGAAATCTTACCATGTACCTACAAGCCGCCAACAGCATGTTGAAGGAATGCGAGCACATCTTTGACATCGAAGACGTGTTGTCGCCTCGCAAGAACGGCAACTCTGGGTCATCGCGTCACACACGCAAAGCCGATTCGGGAATCAGCTTCAATAGTAATGCCAGTTCCGAACGACGCCCATCGACTGGTAGATCCGAGAAGGAGCCTGCATCACCCATCGAGTGGAACCGACCTAAGACACCCAGCGGTGCACGACACGGCACTGCACTGGAGAAGCTTGCGAGAGGCCTCAAGACCATCGGCCGTAGCAGAACCGACGTCACCGAGATCATTGACCATGACGATGACTTCCCTCAAAGTCTGCCTGCCGACAAGCCCAAGATCCTGCGGAAGATGCGCAGTCTGGGCTCTCTTGGTGACCGCAAGGCATCCTCATCCAGCCTCGCCAGCCGTCAAGGCTCGGATGCGCCGGCATACGATGTTAACCAGATGCGACAACTGCGGGCAGATTACGAAGCTCGCCAGAAGAATGGAAAGCGAGCGAGCAACGAAGTATAGTGTTTCGGCAACACAACCTCTACCACATGTTTCCTTTGTTTGATGACTGGCAACGATACCACGAATAGCATGGACAGAGCCGGGTTCGCTCTGGGGGTTACACTTGCATGGCATACGGAGCAACGGTAACACATTCAACTGTACAGACTGCCACTGTCGAACGAATGTTTTACTTGACGAAATGAAAGAGACACGGCGTTGTCAAAAGACTCTTAGGTCCTCACGGGCGGAATGTTAATGGCACTACGAAAAGGATTGGAGGGGGTTTGAGGATTGGGGCATATTGTGAGCTTGGCAAGGTGTTGTTGGCGCGCGAGCGACAGAAGGAAGTCAGGAAAAACGGGGTGTCATGATCAGTGACGGTGGAAGACGGAATGCAGGAAGAATGTTTTGTTTTGTGTTGTTTGTGCATTGAAAGATATGTCTTTATGGCGACACGAATTTTGTGTGCAGTCTGTTTTGTAGCTTCGACAATGAAACGAGTCAAGCTCGCTCATCACCAGAACTGTTGTTGATCATTATTCCCTTGCCGGCTCGAGTCAATGCGATAGTTCGGATGACAGGTCTGATCCGCACCAGGGTACGTACGCTCGAGGGTAATTCCATGCCAACGCGGCAACGCCTTCGTGCCACGGTGCAAGTTGACGATACTTAATATCTCAAAATGCCAAGAAACCAATCTTTGAACTCCAGTCGCCGGCTCGACCACTGCTGTGCACATGTCTCGTGGTTCAGGCCGTTAGTTATTAGCCAGCTCCAAAACGTACCGTGCAGGCATAACCTGGAGATTGGTGTGGCATTTCTGTCGATCATGCAGCGTTCTCCTGTCACCCTTGCCGGTCCTTCTTTCACAAAATTTCCCAAAAGAAAATCATACACGCTCATAAACATCTTCGCGGCAATTCCATCGTACCGGCAAAATGACTCCACCTCGACAATCTTCCTTCACGCCTCCCTCGATCCCATCATCAAATCCTTCTTCCTGCATACCGTGATTCTTTGTATCCTTTGCCGTTGTATCTCGCGTGCGGCATTGCGGAAATCTTGACTCGGCAGGTTCGCGGGCGATTCCCAAACGAGAAGGACCTGCTTTCACCCTGCATTCAGAGATGTAAAAACCTTAGTAATTGTAATAGTAATAGTAAATAGTAAATAGTAAAGTCAAATTGGCAATAGTAATAGTAATAGTAATAGTAATCCTACAGAGAATTCTATAGTAATCGTAATAGTAATAGTAATAGTAATTACTATAGTAATATTACTATTACTATAGTAATTACTATTACACTATTTAGTATAGTAAATTGTATTCTATACGAGTCCTAGTATTGATTTTTCTAGAATATATTAATATATTTACTATAGATATATCTAGTAAAACTATAGAGATATTAATTTTTAAAATTCTAATAGTAGGTTCTTATAGAAGTTAATATCTTTATAACTTTAATAGATAAACTATTAAAAAAATTATATATAGTTAAAAAAAGCGAAGCTATAGATATATATTACGCTCTTTTTATTAGTTAAGAATTATATATAATATTATAACTATACAGATAGTAGTAAAAGTATAACATTATATATTAATAATAAATATATTAATTTATAATAGTATCTTAGAGCAATATAATGATATGTTATTTTAGAATAAATATATTTATTTATTCTAGAATAAAATTATTATATTATTGTGCTATTTCTTAATAATATAATTAGTATATTATAATATACTTTCTTTCTAAAAAAGCTTAAGGCCGAATTCTTAACTTTTTAGAAGAATTTAATTATTTACTAAAGTATATTATATAATCTATAGATTAGTAGTCGAACTGTTTATTTTTATTTTGACTTTTTTTCCGTAAGGTACTCTAACTTCTTTAGAGTAGAACATATATTTTAAAAGCTAAGATAGTATACACAATATACTAGGGAACTATAGAGAAAGAAATTAAACTTAGGGAGAGCGAAGCCGTATATATATATATATTGCTCTCTCTACTTGAATTAAGGTTTATATACAATAGTATAACTATATATAGTAATAATGATATAATAGTATATTTGAATTTATTTACTTGTTTATAATAGTATCTTAGAATAATAGAATAATATATTATCTAATTTATCTTAGAATAAATACATTAATTCATAATATTATCTTAATATACTATTATAAATAAATAAATTTATTTAAATATATTATTATAATTTAGTAACTAAATATAGTTAAACTATTGTATATAAACCTTAGTAAAAAGGAGAGAGTAATATATATACTTCGTCCTTTCCTTTCTAAAGATCTTTCTTCTTTCTATACTGCTTTAGTATACGAGACTATAACTAACTACGCTACTCTCTACTATGCTATACTCTTATAAGACGTCTATTCAATAGTAGACTACTACTATAATACGAAGTAAGTCTACTAATATAAAAGAAACTTCTTACTTAGTAATATACTAATTTTATTATTATTAGAATATATACCTTCGACGATACCTTATTAACCTCTATTACTTTTATTAATGGGTTTATTAATAAGAGTTCTGTGGTAGCGTCTGGCCGCATAGACAAAACTATTAAGGCTGTTATTAATAGCTTGCTAAGTAATAGAGCTAAAGGAAATAAAGAAATCGTCCGAGTCGAATATCTAAATCGACTTCGTATTACCTACTTTATTAACCGGATTAAGCAGTACTATATTAAGGAATATAAGAGGATTAAAGGTATTATATCCTAATATATTAACCTGACGTATTATACTAATAGTTTTTAGCTTTTGTATTCTCTATCGATAATTTAGACGAGTTTAATTCTCGGCTAGATATTCGAGCTTATATCGACTCTTTAAACGATAATAATATCGTTTCTAGAATTGAATACCTTACGCTCTATATTCTAAGATACTTGCTATACTTTCAAGACTATAGTAAGTATTATATACTAGCCTTAAGATCTAGTAATATCTCTATACTAATAGATATTATAGCTTTTATTCGACTATTTCCAGATAGTAGTGTAGTATCCCCCGAGGGCTACACTACTATTAGTACTAGTATCGAGTCGGCTAGAGATACCTATCTCTATACGGATATCTACGACGATATCTACTTTCTTAGTAGGCTTAACTTCTTTAATTTAGAGTATAAAGAGGAGGAAAAGATTCTTATAGAGGCCTATTCAAGTACGGCGGCCTTAAAGGAGGAGATTAAATCTCTAAGCTATAGTACTACAGAAGAGATTCTTAGTACTAGAAATAGTATCGAGATAGATAGTAGTAAGGAAGATAATAAGGACTTAGAGGAGATAGCCGATAGAGAGATAGACTTAGACTAGACTAACTAGCCTAGTCTTAGCTATCTAGGTACAACAGTATTATATATAGTAGTAGGAGTAAAGGGTATTAAAGGGTTTTCTTTATATAAATCGCTTTGAATTCTATTATAATCTAGACTTTGATTATAGTACTAGTATAACTATATTAGAAAGAAACCTTAAGTAATTATAGTCTATTAGATACTTTCTATAAGAATACCGGTATTATATTATTTTTAACACAGCAGTTTCTTTATTTGGGTAGATACTATTAATCTTTTATACCTATATTATACTGTAAATATCTATATAGTCTAGAGTACTATATAAGTAATCCTATAGCTAGTGTAAATATAGAAAACACATATTAAGTATACGGCTATAATATAATAGAATTGTAACGATTATATAGTATAAAATAGATAACGGCTCTATCTAGCTATTAGAAAGACTGTCTATATAAGTATACCTACCCTTACTAGATAATAGCAACTATAGCGGCTAATAGTAGCGGCTACTATACTATTATATATATATTACCGACTGTAGCGACTAGTAGTAGCCGCTACTGTACTATATATATATACTATAGTAATATATGTTTCTACTATTAATATTAGACTATCCTTAATTATATTATAGCATATTATAGTATATTATAGTATACTATACTTATTAAGTAGTTCTATAGCTTAGAATAGGTAGAAAAACTACTATAATAGTAGAATAGTAATTACTATTTTACTATTACTATTACTATTACTATTTCTCGAAGGTCCCTAGTAATAGTAATAGTAATAGTAATAGTAATTACTATAGTAATTTTACTATTACTATAGTAATTACTATTTACTAGTTTACTAAGGTTTTTACATCTCTGCCTACATTCTCGAGAACGTAGCATTAGACGAGCTTGTTGCTACAAACTATACGCGTTGCCTATAATAGGACAGCTCTCGTTCGTAACACTCGACGTCTTTACCTACACGCGATACGCCGGGAATCCTCTCGCGGTCGTGCGCGTTCCTAATAGGGTAGATCTGCCTACTAAGCAAATGCTCGCTATCGCGAAGGAGTTTAATCTAGGTAAGACGGTTTTCGTGCATAATGCGAAGAACGGCGCAGATAGCATAGATAAGTAGAGGGTTAGGATTTTTGTTACGAAGGGGGAGATCCCTTTTGCTAGTAGGTTGCTTCTATAATAAACGAGGCAGGTATATGTATATAGAGCTCTGCCTACAGTGCTAATTACTATCTTCTACATCTTAGGCTATCCCACTATCGGCGTAGCGGTCTACGCCCTATCTCTACTTAGACTAGTAACAAAGGGTGTTCGTATATGTAACATAGAATTACGTGTTCCGTAGCAGACTTTTCTAAACCCGTAAGTAAACTTTCTAACCCCTACACTAATTAAATAACCT